TGGCGAGTGAGTATGTCGAGGGCAGGAATGGGGAGAAAGAACCAGTCTGATGAAGAAATGGGGGGCTTGACAAGATGTGGGTTCACAAGGGGAGCCGCTCCAGACACTGGTCCACCCGCCCCTCCCAGCCCCTGACCTTAAACCTGGAGCACAGGTGGGAAGCAGCCCAGAGAAACGCAGCCGAGGCTGGCCGGCCTGTCACCCCGTACCTGCTGACAGGTTTATTTTTAGGGGAAACCAGTGACACTAAGAATGGTAATAGGTCCAGCACGCAAAACCAAACCAATCTGAATTTAAAAGGGTAGCGAGGGCTAGAAATATAAATGACCAAGAGGAAAAGAAAGAGAAAATATCTAAGTAAAAACAAATCTGGGTTTCCCCCTCAAGCCCAACACAGAAGTTTATTGTATCGTCTTCTGAAAATACAACGTAATTGCTTCAGGGTTTCATTTCTTTTAAAGAATAATAGCTAAAATGCTTCAGATAATTTCTTTATCTGTTGCTTCATCTTTACTCTGACAAAATTCCTGAAGACACACAACGGGGAGAAGTTTCTAGAAAATCATCGCAGTCTGTGACAACAAGGACTGCGGTTAAAAAAATTAAAAACCTCCGTGAACAAGTCTCAGAGGCAGGAAAAGCACACCGCAGCCTGGCCTCAGACAGAGTCATTATCGCGTCCCACGAGGAAAGCAGTTCTTTGAGACGTTTCACTAATGACAGCTCATCTTTGCTTTCCTCAAAGGCCAGGGATGCCCCCAAAGTCAGTGTTCTCCAAGGTCACACATCCCTCGTGATGTCAACAGCTAATGCTGACAAACCAAATTGCTTTAGAATTATAAAGGATGCTTTAAGAAAAACAAGCCCCCAGGTACTGCAGGCACTGCGACTTCACGAGAATTTCTGTGTGCAAGCGTGTCTGTGTGACGGAAGGAGAGCCAGGACATCTGGGATGGAGTCTGGCTCTGCCAAAACTGCCACAAGCAACTGTGAGATGCAAGCAACTTGGCCACGCTGGGCCTCCGGTTCCTTAGCTGTTAAGTGACAGGGCCCACTTGAAGCTGCGGGGTTTAATTTCTTTCTTTTTTTTTAAAGCCTTAAAAATACTTCCTTCAAATGAAATCTTACCAGGTAAAGTATAACCACATAAAATATATAAAAGTGGAGCTTGTCACAAGTGAAGCAAGGTTAAGGTGTCTACAATCCATAAGCATGGTCCCCTTCTCCCTCCTAACTTACCCTCCCAGACCCTCGGGCACCCTCGGAGCACAGCGTGAACCCGGTAAATGAGAGGCCCCTCAGCTCTGTGTGTGAGCTCTGCTGGCCTCGGGCTCCTCACTTTATGAAAATGCTGTCTCTCTCGAAGTGGGCCCCTTGACCAGCCACAGAAGGGCGGCCGGCTGTAGCCCCATGACGTGGCAGCAGGGCGAGAGGAGGGGAAGGGCACCAGCTTGGGAGCCAAGAACCCTGTGTGCTGGGTTCTCCTGCCCTGACCAGCTGGGACCCTGACCACGTCACTGCTGCGGCCGCCACTCCCCTTGTAAAACCAAGGGGACTTGGCTTGACTCCTACCACAGTGAGACTCAGTGATCCATAAGACACACTGCACAGGGCATCTTCAAGCACCTGATGGCTCCCAAACATGTGATTTAACTTCACATTGATTATTAAGTTTTTCCCCTTGGATGATTTCATAGCTCCATGAAGTTAACCACAGTATTAACTTTTCTAAAATACAGATGCTGTGCTTTTAAGAGTAACAGTCTCGAGAAGAGAGGAGCCATCTACTGCAATATGGCTGAAGAAATCTGAAAAAATATGACACGATGCTAGGCACTGGGGATACCTACTTCCTGGCTACTTGGTACAAAGAAAACCAAGTAATAGCTTTCAATTAGTTATGTTTAAAAATCAATTTGTAACAACAAGGTTCTACTGTACAGCACAGAGAACTATATTCAATACCTGGTAATGGCCTACAATGAAAAAGACTATGAAAAGGAATATATATACATATATATATAAATGAATCACTATGCTGTTAACTAGAAATTTAAACACTGTAAATCGACTATACTTAATAAAAAGATCCACCTAAAAAAATCAATTTGTACACAAATAATGCATTATTACTAAATTATTAAAATGTCACTTTGCATGGTGGCATCAACGTGATGAAAGGCCTAAACGTCTATTGCAAAAGGTAAGATTTTTTAACAAAAGCCAGAAAAAAATGAAACTTTCTCGAAATGGATATCAATAAAAGAAAACTCTAAAACTCTCTCCAGTGAGAACCCAGAGTCTGGGCTGTCCCCACCGCGCCTGGGTTCCCGGGGCGGCAGCCGCAGGGCAGGACCTACCTCAGCACCACCACGATGGGGCTCTCGCTGCCCGTGAGGACGATCAGGCCTTTCCAGATCATGAGCGCCGAGGACACAATCATGGCAAAGTTTAAAACCTGGTAGTAGAGCTGGGATGAAAAAGGCCAAACTGAAAGTGAGCAACAGTGGCAGAACATTCACTAACTCTAAGCTGGAAATGTGCTTGTTTTTGGAAAAAAAAAAAAAGCCAAAAAAAAAGCTGTGATTTTAGGACATGAAACTAGTTTGCATAAACTACAAAACTAGGTAGAATTTCAACTTCTGTCCATGGAAATGCCTATATACCATCTCTCCTTCAATAAGAGAAAAAGGGAGAAGAAAACACACACACACACACACACACAAAACCAGAGCAACCTGTGGGGCCTGCTCTGCGACAGCCTCGGTAAGACCTTCCTTACCTCTCGGGAATCTCCCAGGACCTTCAACCCTGAGGGTGTTACCACCAGGCCTCCCGCTCCAGTGTAGAGAACCAGGTCTGACCTGGGGTCCCGGCACACTCCACGTGGTTCACCAAGAACCACCTGGCCCCACGCACGCCAGGACGGCCCCAACTGAGGCTTCAGAGTCCTACCGCACTTAGCCATGAGGCATCTGAAAGTACAATTTAAAAGTAACAGAGCAGAAGGGTGTAGCTCAGTGGTAAAGCACATGCTTAGTACACATGAGGTCCTGGGCTCAATCCCCAGTACCTCCATTGAAAATAATAATAAAATACAAATTAAAAAAATTTTTAATGAACAGAAACTTTAAACACTCTGCATGTTTAGAGTTTCCATAAATGTCTTAAAAGATGAGCAACAAACATCTGGTTAAGAACACGGCGGGAAGGCCACCCAAGGCAGGACCTGGTTCTAAGCTGACTTCACTCCACCTGAGACCACTGAGCTGGGACCCGCAGGGCCACCTCCCTCACTGTCCTCCAGATGGCTCCTCACTTGGGTACCTGCCTCAGCCTTCCTCTTCAGCACTCCTGCGGCTGCTCTTGGGATGTGAAGAGCGTGGATGGCCCAGCCAACATTCTGGCATCTCAATTCCTGGACCTCCTCACCTCCCGAGCCCCTCTGCCTCCCCTGTAACTGCCCACTCTTAGCAGCACACCTGGCACTGACACTACCCCATCCCCATGGCTCTGGTCCAGGGAGGCCCTTCCCTGCGCACAGGCCCGTGTGCTCACCCACACGCAGGACTCTCGTCCTTGCGGGACTCCCACCTCCACCGCCATCTCTCCAGGCAGCACGCAGCCCCTCGCAGTTCACTGCTGGCGTCCTCCATGGGGACTGGCAGCAGCCCCTAACCCAGGACCTTCTGTTTACTCCTCCGGAAAAGAGACTTCCAGACCTCTAGCTGGGAGGGGAAGACCTCTGAGGAGAGCTGGGGAGGACGCCTAGGGCTCTAAGTGCACCCCTCCCCCCAGCCCCATTCTGGAGACACTTGGTCCTGCCAATGCTTGAGTCGTGGAGGCTTTCTCAGGGGACGTGGTGAGGACTTAGTCCTCAGTCCCCACCGCTGGCCCGGCTGTCAGTGGCCCCTCTTCTGTGTGCCAGCATCTAGTATTTGATTTGATCTTGTTTTCTTTCCTGGGCTTCCTATCTTGGAGTAACGGATGCCTTTTTAAGCTCCCCTGACTGCATATAGTTTTAGCGGTATTTCAGAGCAAGTGAGATTAGATCCCAGCTACCTGCCAGCTTTCCAGAAAGTCCTTTTGAAGTGAGTCTGGAACTAGGACTCAGATCATGTGATTCTGGACAATACTGTTTTCCTCGAATATCCAAGTATAATTTTAACTGAGACAACGCAGGGTGATGGACTCTTTTTGAGGATTGAATACAGCTTAAAATGCAATTTTAAGCACAGTTTAAATATCTCTGTAAATAGTTTTTTTAATGCATGAGGCCTCAAGAAATGGGGGCTGAAGGCACTCAGGAAGTCCCAGTAGGGATGTGGCAGGTAGTTTTATAGGGTTCTGACTTCTGAGAGTGTAGACCAGCCTCTATAGCAATGGTTCTCAAACTTCAGTGTGCACCAGCATCCCCACGTAGGGCCTGAGAATTTGCATTTCAAACAAGTTCCCAGGTGATGCTGAAGCTGCTGGTTCGTTACCCTCGGTTCCCAACCTTAGCCTCCCTTTAGAATCACCTGGGGAACCTTTGGAACATGGTCTACCTGGTCTCTATCCAAGACCACTGGAATCAGTGGGAGGGGAGGGGTGCTGTGCTGGCATGCCTGTTTCCTCAACAGCTCACAGCGGATCCTGATGCACAGAGAGGCTGGACCACTGCGCCAGATCTTCTCTCTCCCATCAGCTTAAGTCTCTCTCATCTGAAATCTTCCACCTCACATCCTCCACGCAGTTTTTAAAAACACTCTCTCTCTCCTTCACAGCCAAATTTCTCAAGTTTCCACCCCAGGATTCTCTCCTCCTTCACCATCTAAGTCACTCCTCAGCCTTCAGACTCAGTCGCGTGCTCACTAAATCCAATGGACAACTGTCATCCTCACCTTGCTGAGCTTTTGGCAGCTTTCAACACAGATAATCACTTCCACACACTCTCTGCCCCGGCTTCCAGGATGGCATACTGTCTACTCTCTGATCACCTTCTTTTTAGTCCCCCTGCCAGGTCCTCCTCCTCTAACTGGACCTTCAAATGCTGGCGTTGGGACCATCATGCTGACTACTCCCGATACTAAGATTTCCAGCTGCCTCCCTGACACGTCCACGTGGATGTCCTTACAGGCACCTCCAACCCAACATGGTCAAAACTGAACTTACCTTCCCCACAAAGCCTTCAGTGCTCATGATCCCATCTCAATAAATGGCATTACCACCCCCACTCATTTATTCTATACATTCCATCCTCTGAACGTTCCTGGCATCCACACAGTCCCCTCTCTCCTCCAAGGCTCATCCAAGGCACCAGCACAGCCTGTCGGACATCCTGAGAGCCTCCTAACCAGCCTCCTGATGTCCAGGCACACCTGTTCCAATGTGTTCTCCATGCTACACTCAGCACTCATTTTCAAATGCACCTCTGGTCACTTCTATGCCCTAAGAAAGGCCCTCTGACTGCATCCCGCACTCTGAGGATGAATATGATCTCTAAGGCCCTGACACGGGCCCCTACTCTCCAGCGTCGGCAGAAGCTCACTGCACACCAGCTACGCTGCTGGGATCTGCCAGGGCTTCAAAGAGCACATGGGCCAGGTAATAAATATTTTAGATTTAGGGGCCTTATCATCTCTGTTGAAATGACTCAGTTCTACTGTTACAGTGGGAAAGCAGCTAGAGACAATATGTTAAAAAAAAAAAAGAGAACATGGCTGTGTTCCATTAAAACTTTTTTTATAGAAACAGGCAGTAGGCTAGAGTTTGCCAACCTCTGCTATAGACCAGCCTAGGTCCTCCTGTTATATATTCTCACTGCATCCTGTATTTCTTTATACCATCCATCACCTTGATAATTACACATATAATCACTTAATGTGTTTTTCACAGTAAACTCTAAGTTCCACAAAGGCAATGATGATTTCAGCCTCATTCACAGCTGTATCCCCAATGTTCAACAAAGGCCTGGCTAAAAGTAAGTACTCAATTTGTTAAAGAAATAGTGAGAAATTCATGGTGGACACATACAAACTGGTAGTAAGAAAAACACTAAAATTCCCACTAACAACAAAAAGAGGCAAAAGCTTAAAACTATTAATATTCCAAAGAAGAAATACACATGGTGAATAAATAAAGTGTTCACACAACACCATAAATTAACTATACTTCAATAAAAGAAAATTAAAATAAAATAAAGTCTTCAAACTAAATCCTGCCTTCACCCTTCCCTCTTTTTCAGCCTAGTAAACCTAAAGTTGTTTTTTCATTTAATGCTCATACTCAGTGCTTGGTAAGCATATGTTGTGGTGGGGGTGCAAGCTGCTATAACCATTCTGAAAGCAATTTAGTTTCAAGCATTAGTATCAAGAGGTTGCTCTAGGTCCACTAATAACTACGTCTAGGAATTATTCAGTCTAAAACAAAGGCAGACAGGGAATTATGGCCCAAAGATATTTATTACAGTCTTATTTCTAGTAACAGGGAAAAGGAACTAAATGAACAGTAAAGAAATGGCTGAGTAAATAAAGGCAAATTACTGCATCATCTCAAACAATGAATAAAGAACTTTAATGGCCACGACCAAACACTCAAGACATATTGAGTGAAAAACGTAGGCTGTAGTAGGATTTCCACAAACTGTAAACAGTTTATAAAGCAAACACAAGGAGATCCCCGAAGATGATAACAGAGTTTATCTTATGGTTTTGTGTGTGTGTGTATGTGTGTTGGCAGAGGGGAGGTAATTAGGTTTTATTATTTATTTTTAGAGGAGGTACTGGGGATTGAACCCAGGACCTCGTGCATGCTAAGCATGTGCTTTACCACTTGAGCTATACCCTCCCTCCAACAGAGGCTATCTTGGCATGGTGGAATTATGAGTGACTGAATTGTCTTCTTTAAACTACTCTCTATTCTTTAAAATTCCTACGATGAGCAAAGGTTAATTTCAAAATCTTGGAGGGAGTAGGGGATTGTTTAAAGTGCAATTGGACAAGATAGAGGCCGTGAAAATAATCATTTTGAAGAGTGTGACAAAACATGAAAACGTATTCTGATATGATCATAAGAAAGGAAAAGCAAAGCTCAAAACCGTCTCTTGCTAAAAGTACAATTGTGTGAAATTATGTAATTTGAGGTAATTGTGAAGGTTACAAAAGTAGGGACAAAGGGTGAATTAAAATAACTAAGATATTTTTATTCAATAAATGAAAATAGGAAAATAAACGCAATTCAAAATTAAAATTACATACACTTTTTTCGACTCCTTGGCTACTGTGTCAGTAGCAAATTATGAAACTAAATTCAATTCCCAGGAGAGCAAAAAAGGAAACTGGGGTGCTAAATGGGTATTTTTCAAGTGTTAGGCTATTATATGTTAAAGTGTTGCTTCTAACGTAAAATCAGCCTTGCAGATCCCATCAGTCCAAAGCAGAAGTTGCTCACTGAGTTCACATTCAAAAACTTCACCACCTACTTCGCCTGACTTAAGGGTTTAGTGAACGACCATTGTTTCATTATGAATCGCA